TTTTTGTATCCCCAGGAATTAGTATTGGAGTTAGCATCTAGTAATCCTCTAAAGATCTAGATATTTTCCTTTTTTCAGTACACAAACCCCTAGTAAATGGCTACAGGTCTCTTAGGGGAATTCTTAGAGGAAAATTTACAATACACATGTGGCTCTGTTGCATTGTCTTTGGGGGACCAAGGACTTTGTGTTTGGCAACTGGGAGTGACTGTGACCCTCCATTATAGTTATGGAAGTTAGGATCTAGGCTGCCAGATCTAGGTTTCTGTTGTTTATAGATCAAGTAATATTTTAGTCAACTGACTTTTCATTTTGTTTCTTAGAAGTACCACGTTCAATAAAGCACTACTAAAGGTCTCTGCAGGTTGAAATCTTCTGGTTGCCACATTTTGTCCATGCTGTCCGTAACATCATTGCTCCCTCCTTTTTCTTGTTAAACTCTGCCATTTGACCTATGCACTCTGGGATCTCATCATGCCTATTAGGGAGTCTTTTTCAGTGATGTCATCTCCCCATGTTATTCCCAACCCACAGAAGACAGCCACTACAGAGTTTTTCAGGGATGTAGATTCCCTCACTAATGTATTTTTCAGTGCTTTAGTGCAGTGTTCTCTGGGACCTCATGGATTATGTAGTAGGAGGATGTGTATAGTATATTCAGGTTGTACATGGTTAATCCACTTTAGCATTCATATTTTTCTAAGCATCCGGATTTCTTCTACATTTTGCCAGGAAAGTTTGGGCATTTCCTCCTCATTAAATGTAGACTCCTTTGGGATTCAAGTTTCATTCAGTTGACAAGGAAACTATTAGAAGTACTTACAACTGCTTAAGCAAATATATTATATTTGGCCCTATTCAAACTCTTTTGGTCAAACTCACTTAAAATTCATTTCTACAACTATTCCCTAGGTTTTTGCTGATATAATTTATCAAAATATTATAATTACTTTTGGATATAAGCTGTCTTTTCTCAGTTAAGACATTGTACTTATTTTCTTGGAACATGCCTACATCTGATTTTATAGGTAATAAGGAATGGTGGAGGTAGGTTTTAAGAATAGACATCCCCCTTCAAGGCAACTGTCTCAGGTAAGAGTATTCATAGTTTTTAAGCAAGAAGCTAATCTCAGTCATGGGAGGAGGAGCTGTTTCTGCTTACAGAAGAGGCTCAGAGAGACTCCAGGGGTTCAGGATTCGGACATTCACCTGAATCCGCTCAGGTATCCCCATTTCACATCTTAGGTTCTCACTCCTTCCACAACAGTGCCTTAACTTTCACAAAAGTGACTTAGAAAGTATGTATATTCAACTTTCACTGTAAATATGCAAGCTGCAAAATTAAATTTTGAGTCCAATTCTTAGGAAGATCATACCTGTGGTTACAAGAAATAAGAAGCTCTTTTTAAAGTGCCACTTCAGAAACTCTGTAACTTTCTTATCATGAATTGAACTGAAATTTAAAAACCCCAAGTGTGTCATTTTATTCTGTAAGCTCTCCTTTAGAGTCAGAAGCAGCCTGCTCATAGTTCTTGTGATTGTTACCACCATAATGGTCAGGTCAGATAGTCATTTGGTTCCCTTCGGCACTTGTTTCAATAATGATAATTAATCATTATGCCAGTGCATGGCTTGGATCACTAGTATCCCATTTTCCATTGGCAAGGAGTTCAGCATTGCATTGAAGGTCAAGGCCATAATCAAGCCAGTTCCTGAATCCTTTGTTTCCTGGGGCACCTCCATTATCAAGAAAATGAAACCACACTAGGATATTTTTAACAGAGGGAATTTAATGTAGGATTGGTTACACGGGTGTGGAAGACTAAAAGAGCAAAAAAGTAAAACTGAAGTAACCTAGATACAATAACTGCTTCAGGAAGTTACTGCTTGAAGGTCTAGGGAACAAAGGGATTAACAGAACTTTGAAACTCAGAGGAGCTCTTTGAAGCTGAAGATCAGACCTCTGTGGAATGTATACTGTCCAGCCATTAGTGATATCTCAGAGGGAATGACAAGAAGCTGGTTATAAGAGTGCTGAAAAAAGCAGGAGACTGAAAGCTGTAGGGTGATGCTGATTGAAATGCATGCAAACAGGAAGAAGGAAGTCTTTCCTCCCCTCCTCCTAACTACTAATCTCTACCTAGTATCCTCTATTTGACAAAGGTCTATCAGGAAACCATATGCCAAAGGAAAAATATAATTTTGCAGAATCCTAGCCCCTGCATTACAGAATAGACTATAGAAGGATGAATTTGGAGTTAGGAAAACAATGTCAGTGACCAAACTGCTAATTAGCTGTTTTTCTTAGGTTCTGAGAAGTTGTGACATTTAGATATGTGAAGTATTATTGCACAGATTCTGTTCATAGATGCCTAGAAGCTCACTTTGGCTTCCAAACAGTGACATTCTTCCTGCTTTGGACATTTTCTCTGTTCTCATGTTTTCCTTCCCACATTACTTTCCTTGATTCTGACAACTGGGAGAATGGATAGGTTTTTGTCTTTGGATCAGTGATTAGAGTGTCTGAACTCTGGTGAGATCTAAGCTAGTCACTTTCAAACTTTTTTGACAAGACCTACAATGAGAAATATTTGCATTCCAAAATACACATATTACAAATATGTCCCAGAATCAAAAGTTTTATGAAATAATACTTGGTCCTAACTATTTAGTGAAATATACTAATAATTTCTATCCTATTCTATCCTATCCTATTCTTTTCTATTCTTAATCTTATTCTGATTGTGTTCTTTAAAAGACTTACCACAACTCAATCAATTATGTAATCTATAATTTGATAAACACTGATCAAAGCAGCAGTGTGAAGTAAATGTAAATATTCTCTCCTTCTTAATTGTATAAGCAATGCTTAACTTGGCAAGTTTTTGGTCATTTTTGTTGTTGTTCCTATTCGGGCCCCCAACACATTATTTTTCTTTAAATTCAGGGTGAGAAGAAAGATATTTTAGAACTGAGCTTGTAGTTCTGGTGGTGGAGAAAAATTATACAATAATGATATTTAATGGGAGCATTTCTTATGTTTCCTCCCTCCCTACTTTTCCTACTGAGGGGGGAAAAACAGTGACAATATATATATGATAACTTAAGTCAGAGAAAAAAAAATCCAAATTCTTCATAATTATTTCTCTACTCATTAGTTTGTCAAATATTTGTATATCTTCTGTGTATAAAATCTTGAACTCAGCAGATGATACAGCCATTAAAAACACAAATGTGAGCTTCATAATTATTGATAGTAGTGAGATGTTAGAACTAGTCTGAGGTAGTAAAACATGCTCTGAGTTGAAAAATACTTAATCTGAGATATGAAAGATAAATATGATTAGCTAGAAGAAAGATGGAATTTGGGGATGGGATGGGAAGGAAAGAATATTCTTAGAAGGAATAATTTTTATGTTACCTCATGATCTAGGAAGGATCAAGGTAAGACAAAAAACAAAAAGCTGTTCTGGCTATTAGCATAGAGAGATGGAGATAGCATAGCACAAGATGAAGATGGGAAGGTAGATAGGATTCAGATCATATAGGGCCTTGTATGCCACTTTGACCATTTATATGAAGAGCAAAGGGGAGTATAGAAGAAAATGATATGAAGACATTTGTCTTTAATTTCACTCTAGCGGTGGTATGGGATGAAATGCAGGGGGGTAAGGGTATGTATGGAGAGATTAGTTAGGCTATTGCATTAATCTGTGTAAGAGGTGACTGTGGCTTGGACTAGGGTGGCAGCTTCGGAGGGGAAAGGTAGATGACTTATCTAAAAGATATTTAGGAGGTAAAACTGAAAGGACTAGTTAGATGTGGGAGTTGAGAGAGAAAAAGAGGGCAAGGATAATGCCAGAGGTTTCTAGCTTGGGTAGCTAATATGTGGAATAAATGGGAAACTCAGGCTTGGGGAAACATTAATGGTTTAAACTTTGGCTATACTGGGTTTGAGGTTTGGGATCTTACTAAGTACTAGGCATTGTGCTAAGCTTTTCATACACATTATTTGATCTAATCCTTACAAATATAATTAATTTTCCTATTTTACAAATGAGACAGCTATTAAGTGGACAGAGCCACAATTTCATTTTTATTCTTTAAGAAGGGAGAGATTCAACCATGTTTAAATGTTTCTGAGAAGAATCCAGAAGAGAAGGAGATGTTGAAGATAATGGAAGGGAAAGGGATAATCCATAATGTAAAGCTAATGAGTAGATGCGTAGATAGAACGACGTCTTCTCTATTTAGAGAAAGAGAGTGCATATGCAGGTTAGTTTGTGGATTTGATGTTAGAAGGGTAAGGGAATTTCTTCTTGATGGCATCTGTTTTCTCTGCAAAGTAGGAAAAATATTTTAAGACTGAGGAGTGAGAGGGAGAATGGAGGTTTAAGGATGGTTAAGTTTCAGAATAGTTTTTGTGGAAAGTAGAGTTAATGAATCAATTAATGATTCGGTAAGTAAATGCGAGTGGGTTAAGAAGATACTGTTAGTAATTCACAGAGTTTAAAATGATGTTTTATCAGCATCATAACAGCATAAGGCAAAAGTCTAATTAAATGAGATATGTGTGATACTGCTAACAGACATAGAAAGGCAAGGATGGGAGGGAGAGTAATGTGGCTTTCAGTCACTGGGAGAGATTTTATGGAAGAATTAGAACTTACTTAGTCCATGATGCACAGGTAGGTTAATTTGATATGAAGAACAACACAAGCCAAGTACAGTTAAGTCCCCTCTGTACAAATGAGTTCTGTTTCGAGAGTGCTTTCGTAAGTCCAGTTTGTTCGTAAGTTCAACAAAGTTAGCCTAGGTACCCAGCTAACACAATCGGCCATATAGTATTGTGCTGTAATAGGTTTATAATACTTTCGCATCTTTGAAAGTTCGCAACTTGAAGGTTTGTATGTATGGGACTTACTGTATGGAGTGGGTCCTTAGTGGTAATCTGTAGTTATTTGGTTGATGATAATCCTTCTTTTATGTCAATATTTCAGTGACTATGGGGGTGAGCCTATATCAGGACCTGCATTTGATCCAGCAAGTCACCCAGCTCCAGCTCCTGCTCCTGCTCCCTCTTCTTCAGCATTTCGACCTGTAATGCCATCTAGGCAAATTGTAGAAAGGCAACCTCGGATGCTGGACTTCAGGGTTGAGTACAGAGACAGAAATGTTGATGTGGTACTTGAAGACAGCTGTACCGTTGGTAAGGTTTTTCCTACCATATAGCCTCCACAAATAATTCATTAGGTAAACATTCAGTTTATATTCTTTTGTTTTGAGTTGACTGCTGACAAGAAGGAAATAAAAACAAATTGATATTGTTTCATACAGATTATTGTGTTCTAATTTTAAATACTGTCTTCAGATTGAGGTAAGTTTGAGAGTAATTTTTTTTTTGTTCCACATATGCAGAATGATATATGAAGCTGTTTTAGGGCAGATACAAATCAAACATCTCAGAGCTTAAAAAAATACCAGAATTATTAAGTATATTGATATCAGACTTTATAGCTGGAGCTCCTTCATTTTTAATACTATGATTAATGAGAAATCAGAAATAAGACATTTCCATCACTTCTTCTCCCTGCCAGCTAAATAAATGGTGTAGTACTGTTCTCTCAAAGGAGACTCATAGTGTATGCCTGCCATTTTCAGACAAACTTTACCAAAATTCTGTAGAGAAACTATGTTGAATTCATGTTTGATTCAGATTATTTGATCCATGTTTGTTGCAGAACTAGAAATTGTATTAATTTCTATTTTAATACGGTTTTGCCTTATATCTAAATTTTAGATGTTTCTGAAATTTTGCCTTTGTTCCTTTTTGGGGAGATCCTTTCCTAATTTTATTTAATTTTATTAATTGAGGTACCAGTCTGTGGCCTGTTAGGAACTGAGATGCACAGCAGGAGGTGAGCGGTGGGCAAGCGAGCAAAGCTTCATCTGTATTTATAGCCGCTCCCCATCGCTTGCATTACCTCCTGAGCTCCACCTCCTGTGAGATCACCAGTGGCATTAGATTCTCATAGGAGCACAGACCATAATGTGAACGGCGCATGCGAGGGATCTAGGTTGCGCACTCCTTATGAGAATCTAATGTCTGATGATCTGAGGTGGAGCTGAGGCAGTGATGCTAGCACTGGGGAGCAGCTGCAAATACAGATTATCATTAGAAGAGAGGTTTGACTGCACAGAGACCGTAATAAATCAGTTGCTTGCAGACTCATATCAAAACCCTGTCAGTGAGTGGCAAGTGACAATTAAGCAAGGCTTTATAGTGGCAAGTGAGTTGATGTACTTCAATTGTTAGCTGCATCCGGTGGCAGGCTTTAAGTCAGAATCCGACACTTATTTTAGTCCATGAGTGGCCTGCCCATTATTTTATTTACCACTTCTATCCGCGCCTCTTTCCCACTCTGCGCACTTGTCTCAAAAGTTTTGGTAAGCCCACAAGCTAACCCTAGCCAAAATGAGTAAAAAACAAACGTCGCTGGAGAGCTTCTTTGAAAAGGGGGAAAGACCCAATGATGAGACAGCAGAAGAGTCTAAGGCTGCCAACAAAAGAAAGCTGCATTTAAAAGAAAATACCAAGAGTCCTACTTAAATTACAGGTTCATTGCAACAGGTGATTGACATTCTCCAACCCCGCTTTGTATAATATGTGGCAACCGGTTATCCAATGCAGCTGTGAAGCCTTCAAAACTGCTTTGCCACATGGAGACCAAGCACCCTACATTAAAGACAAGCCTTTGGAGTTTTTCAAAAGAAAAAAATGTGAACACAAGAATAGAAGTAACTATTGAAGGCCACCACTTCATCGAATGTGTCTGCACTGAGAGCATCATTCTTAGTGGCTAACCGCATTGCTAAAGCTAAGAAGCCTTTTACTATTGGTGAAGAGTTGATCCTGCCTGCTGCTCAGGACATTTGGTGTGAACTTTTAGGAGAGGCTGCAGTTCAGAAGGTGGCACGTGTTCCTCTTTCAGCTAGCACCATAACTAGATGAATTGATGAAATAGGAGAAGATATTGAGGCATAATTGTTAGAGGATTAATGAGTCACCGTGGTACGCAGCCCTGGTTGACGAGTCTACCGATGTTGACAACAAGGCAACAGTGCTTGTTTTTGTGCGATATATTTTTCAGGAGGATGTGCATGAGGGTATGTTATGTGCACTTTTGTTGCTAGCCAACACTACAGCTGCAGAACTATTCAAGTCTTTGAATTATTACATATCAAGAAAACTGAATGGGTCATTTTGTGTTGGTATATGCATGGACGGAGCAGCTGCCATGACTGGACGGCTTTCTGGTTTCTCAGCTCGGGTCAAAGAGGTCGTTTCTCAAATGTAAGTCTACGCACTGTATCATCCGTAGAGAAATGCAGGCTAGCTGAAAAATGTCACCTGAACTTAAGAGCGTTTTGCAGGATGTGATTAAAATTATCAGCCATATTTAAAGTACATGCCCTTAACTCACATCTGTTCACGCAGCTCTGTGAGGAGGAGGATGCAGAGCACACGTGTCTTCTCTTACACACAGAAGTGAGATGGCTTTCTAAAGGTAGATCACTGGCCAGAGTTTTTGAGTTATGAGAACCACTCCAGAGATTTCTTTTAGAAAAATAGTCACCACTGGCAGCACATTTCAGTGTCACAGAATGGGTCGCAAAACTTGCTTACTTGTGTGACATATTCAGCCTGCTCAACGAACTCAATCTGTCACTTCAGGGGAGAACAACAACTGTGTTCAAGTCGGCAGATAAAGTGGCTGCATTCAAAGCCAAGCTGGAATTATGGGGGCAACAAGTGAACATTGGGATTTTTGACATGTTTCAAACATTAGCAGAGATTTTGAAAGAGACTGAGCCAGGGCCTTCTTTCTCCCAGCTGGTGCGTGATCACCTATCTCAGCTTTCAAAAGAGTTTGAGCATTACTTCCCAACCACAGAAGACTGAACTGGGAAGGAATGGATCTGTGACCCATTTGTGAATAAGCCAGGTGAATCGACTTTGTCCGTGCTAGAAGAGGATCAACTGGTTGAGATCACAAATGACGGTAGCCTTAAAAGTATGTTTGAGACAACTTCAAATCTCCATATGTTCTGGATGAAAGCTAAGGCGGAATATCCTGAGATTGCCACAGAAAGCACTGAAAAGGCTGCTTCCATTTCCAACACCCTATCTTTGTGAAGCATGGTTTTCTGCAGTGACAGCAGCCAAAATGAGATTATGGAGTAGACTGGACATAAGCAACACACTTTGGGTGTCACTGTCTCCCGTCACCCCCAGATGGGACCATCTAGTTGCAGGAAAACAAGCTCAGGGCTCCCACTGATTCTGCATTATGGTGAGTTGTATAATTATTTCATTATATATTACAATGTAATAATAATAGAAATAAAGTGCACAATAAATGTAATGTGCTTGAATCATCCTGAAACCATCCCCCCACCCCGTCTGTGGAAAAACTGTCTTCCACGAAACCAGTCCCTAGTGCCAAAAAGGTTGGGGACCGCTGCATTACAGAGAAAAGCAAGTCTGTTAAAAGAGTGATTCCCAAACATGAATCAGATTGTTATTCCCTTACTTAAAACCATTTAGAAACTTTCCATTGTTTTGGGGATAAAATTCAAATCTTTTAACATGACCTGTAAGTACTGCTCGACCAGACCCTGCTGCATTTCTAGTTTTCATCCATTATCACTCTTCTTCTTACTCACCATGCCTGAGTTGTAACAGACCTCTTTCAGTTCCTTGAATAGGTTATTAGCTCAGGGCCTTTGTACTTGTTTCTTTTTTTGCCTGGATTCCTCCCCTAGTCTAGTCCCTTCTCCCTGTGCCCATCCCCATGCCCCCAAATATTCCCCTATACATTCCTTTTTATTTTAAGAATGAGATATATACAGTATAGTTTTATTAACTATGGGTACATTGTTGTACAGTGGATCTCTAGAACTGTTTCATCTTGAGTAAGTGAAACTCTATATCCACTGAACAGCAACTTCCCATTTTCCCCTCCTGCAAGCCCCCTGGCAGTCATCATTCTGCTTTCTGCATCTATGAGTTTGACTACTTTAAATACCTTATATAAGTGGAATCATGCAACATTTGTCTTTCTGGCTTATTTCACTTCATATGATAAGTGAAAGGCTCATCCATGCTGTAGCATATTACAGGATTTCCTTTCTTTTTAAAAGCTGAATAATATTCCATTGTATATATACACCACGTTTTCTTTATCCGTTCATCTGTTGATGGACATTTAGGTTGTTTCCACCTCTTGGCTATTGTGAATAATGCTACAGTGAACATGGGATTGCAAGTATCTCTTGAGACACTGCTTTCAATTCTTATTTTTGGTGTGTGTGTGTGTTGTTTTATTTTATTGCAATATAGTTGATTTACAATGTTGTGTAAGTTTCAGGTGTACAGCAAAGTGATTCAGTTATACATGTACATATATTCATGCTTTTTTAGATTCTTTTCTCACATAGGTTATCGCAGAATATTGATTCAGTTATACATGTACATATATTCATGCTTTTTTAGATCCTTTTCTCATATAGGTTATCACAGAATATTGAATAGAATTCCCTGTGCTATACAGTAGGTCCTTGTTGGTTATCTATCTTATATGTAGTAGTGTATGTGTGTGTTCATCCCAGGCTTCTGATTTATCCCTCCCAACCCCCTATGTTTCCCCTTTGGTAACCATAAGTTTGTTTTCGCTATCTGTAAGTCCATTTCTGTTTTGTAAATAAGTTCATTTGTTTCTTTTCTTTCTTTTTTTAAATTAGATTCCACATATGAATGATATCATATGATATTTGCCTTTCTTTCTCTGACTTACTTCACTTAGTATAATAATCCCTAGGTCCAACCATGTTGCTGCAAATGGCATTATTTCATTCTTTTTTATGGCTGAGTAATATTCCCTTGTATGTAGGTACCACCACAGCTTTACCCATTCCTCCGTCGATGGACATTTAGGTCAGTTCTTTTGGATTAATACCCAGAAGTGAGATTTCTGGATCATATGTTAGCTCTATTTTTAATTTTTGAGGAGCTTCCATACTCTTTATCATAGTAGCTGCACATTTTACATTTTCAGCAATAGTGCACAAGGGTTCCAATTTTTTCACATCCTTACCAACACTTGTTATTTTCTGTTACTTTGTTTTTGTTTTTATAATGGCCATCTT